TTTTACTTACAGATATGTTTCACTGTAACGTGGAAAATCAAAATTAATTACAACATTAACAGCTTGAATATCAATACCACGAGTAAATAAATCCGAACAAACAAGATTACGACAAAGACCAGTACGAAAATCATGAAATACACGATTACGATGTTCTTGTCGCATTTTTGAATGTATATAATAACATGAATAACCTAATTCAGTTATTTTTTTAGCTAAAAGTTCAACACGTTGTGTTGAATTACAAAATATAATCGATTGATTAATTTGTAACTGAAAAAAAAAATAAAAATTATTTTTCCGGAATTTTTTGTTTTTTTTCATACTTTTGAAAAAAGTGTATTTAAACAATGAATTTTTTGTCGTTCTTGTACAAATGCATAATATTGAGTAATACCTAATAGTAAATAAATCAAAAGAAAAAAAATCAGGAAAATTATTATTTTTCTACTTACCTTTAAGTGTTAATTCTTCCATTAAATTAATTTCATATGGTTGTTTCATATGTTTTTTAATAAAATCATCAACAATTAAAGGAAATGTTGCTGAAAAAAGCATTACTTGTCGATCATTTGGCATTGTATATAATAATTCATCTAATAAATGATTATAATCTTGTGAAAGTAATTTATCAGCTTCATCCAATACAATAACACGACATGAATCAATTTTAGCTAAATTTTTATTAACTAAATCTAATAAACGACCAGGTGTTGCTATAATAATATGAACAATTTCTTGTAAACGTGATATATCTTCACGCAATGATGTACCACCAGTTGTAACCATAACACGTAATTGAATATGTTTAGAAAGTTCCATACATATAGCACTTGTTTGTAATGCTAATTCACGTGTTGGAACTAATATAACTGCTTGAACAATATTTTTATTTGGATCAATACGTTCAATAATTGGTATTGTATATGCACCTGTTTTTCCTGTACCATTTTTTTGCACGTGCAAGAACATCACGACCAGTTAATGCTATTGGAATTGAATGTTCTTGAATAGGTGATGGTTTTTCCCAACCTTTTTCATAAATACCTAAAAAAATTTTTTTTTATAGTTATAAAGAGAAGAATTTTGTTTATAAAATGTTATACCCATAAGTAATTCTCGTTTAAGACAATAATCTTCAAAATCATGACCACTTGTATTTGTTACATCACTTGTTCTAGCACGACGATCTTTTTCTGGAATATTTAATTTTGATTTCCAATCAGGATCATCTTTATTAATTATATTTGTTGATATATTTCCATTATTGATTGTATTCTTATCATTACCATCGATTTTTGTAATTAAATTTCCAGGAAAATTTGATGTAGAAAATGGTAAAGAAGGTGAGGCTTTGCCTCCCGTGGATGAACCACCAATCATAATTGAATGGTAGTAAATAAAAATTAACAGAAACAAATAACGGAGGGAAATAAAAGGAATGAAATATATGTACAATATCAAACGAATATTTGTATTAAAATATTAATGAACAAATAATTCAAGTTTGAAATAAATATATATATATATATATAGCGATAAAATTATAATTGAATGAAATCTTTTTGTTTTTCGTTTTATCTAAAGAAAAAAAGATCATTGTGTTTTTAATATAAAAAAAAAAACAAAAATAATAAAACAATTAGAATATCTAAACGTTTTCTTATTTTACTCTTTTTTGTTTATGTTTTTTTAATCCATCATCCATATAATAAAAGAAAAATGTTATGATCACAATGATATGCAAAAAGAAACAAGGAGAAAAAAAAACAAACGATAAAAATTTAGCATACATCATATCTGATCTTATATGACTTATATATTGTTTTTTTTTTTTGTTAGTTTGACTAGTAAAACACACATATAGCAAGAAAACAAAAAAAAAATCTGATTGATTGTTCATTTATCTGTTTGTTGTTCATCAATTGATTGTTCAATAGTTGATACTTTAGCCACATATAAATTTTCATCAATATGACGTGGTATAGGTAAAATTTCTGTACCTAATTCTTGTTCAATTTTGTGTACAGTAAATCGATCATCATATGTTATTAAACTTATTGCAAGACCTAAATGACCATAACGACCTGAACGACCAATACGATGACTAAACAAAAAAAAAAAAAAACGAAATTTTTTTTTTTCATTTCTAAAATTTAGATTTTTACTTACAGATATGTTTCACTGTAACGTGGAAAATCAAAATTAATTACAACATTAACAGCTTGAATATCAATACCACGAGTAAATAAATCCGAACAAACAAGATTACGACAAAGACCAGTACGAAAATCATGAAATACACGATTACGATGTTCTTGTCGCATTTTTGAATGTATATAATAACATGAATAACCTAATTCAGTTATTTTTTTAGCTAAAAGTTCAACACGTTGTGTTGAATTACAAAATATAATCGATTGATTAATTTGTAACT